AGCTAGTCTGAACTCTATCTAAGGGCCTGTATCCTGTGGTGCCTCCTTCCCAGCAGGACAGGAACAGGGTGGCCGCAGCGGGGGTGATGTCTGTCTGCCTGACTGTCTGGGCCAGTCCCAAGGTCACCTCTTGTTGGCAAGTGGTCAAGATGCCACTAGAACCAGGAAAGAGGTACTGGGGAGGAAACCAGCCTTGAAGTCAGATCCTGGCTCAAATCCTGTGTGACCTTGGGCTGGCCGTGCTCCCTCTCTGAGCCTCAGTCTCCTCCTCCAGCAAATGGGGCAAGGCTTCCTTGGCAAGGTGTAGGAGAAAATGCAAGCCATTAGTTTTGGACAGAGTCAGTGCTCAATAGGGGCACATGGCTCTGGGTCTGAAATCTTCAGGGAAAGGGATAGGGAGACACCAGTGCTGAGGACAGGTGTGAACACAGGAACACAGCTGGCATCAGGGACTGTCTTTTTCCTAACTACAAGCCCCAGTGCTTTTGAAACCTGATCTAGGTAAATGCGAGTGGGGCCTCTGACAGGGCCCCATCCCCAAGGGAGCCAATGGGGTTGAGTCTGTCCTTGGAGCTCCAAATAAGGTCTCAGAAGGCAGGCTTGGACCTGGGCAGTCTCTGCCCTCCTATTTATTTGCCGGGCCTTTCATTTCATCATCGGAGCTGCATCAACCTCTTGTACTCCAAGCCTGGGCTTGAATCTTCATTAAACTTGTCCCATTTTAATGGCCTCCAATTCCTCTCGCTATTCCCACTTCTTGGATATGTCAGGCTCCCTTCTTCTCCAGCTGGGGGCTGAGTGGTGGGTGGGGGAGGCAGGCACAGGGCACACAGCTCTCTTTGTGACTACGGCTGAGTCATATGGGCAACGCCATCTTCCTGGGCCCTGGGGCTGGTGTGACAGGAGATGGCGTTATCATGGGGCTGTGGCTGTCCCCCGCCCCCACTCCTTCCACCCCCCCCATCCTGGTGCCTGTGGCTTTGGAGGCTTTCCCACGGGAATGAATAGGGAGGTGGCTGGGAGCACTGGCTGAAAAGCATGTGGTCTGGATCCCAGGACCTGGGTTCGAGTGCTGATGACATGCAGTGAAGCTTTAGAAAGGTTCTCTCTCTGCGCCTCAGTTTCCATCTCTGGTAAATGGGAATAATCATCACCATTTTGTAGAAGAGATCCTGGACATGAAGGGCTTTGCAAACTGTAGAGTGCTGGGCTTTGTGTTGACTTTATGATAATCACAATGACAATTGGCCAACATTGGTTGAGCACCTACTGTGTGCCAGGTGTGGTGCTCAATGATGTACAAGGCCACTCAGCTCACAAGGGGAGAAGCCTGGACTTGAGCTGCTCTCATCCAATAAAAAGTCACCTCCAAGAGGCAGTGGTGCCTGTGAGTGACCCTTCCCGTTGGTGGCAGAGTTCTGCATTGTTTGTAAGGCTGGCTCACACAGCCCTGGCTGGAGGCTTAGAGATGGAGAAGGGGAAGCGCTCCAGGAACAAAGCTGTATCCTCCCATTTGCCCAGGCCTCTGTCCCAGTGGGCACCATGGGTCTCCCATTCTCTTACCCCTGTCCTGGGGTCCACACGGTCTCCTAGGTCGCCTCCCATCTCCCTGGCAGCCCCCACTCTGTCTCCTTTACAGGCTGCTCTGAACAGCAGAGCCCTCACAGGTGCATCAGGGGTGCTCATTCATGCCTCGGCTGTGAGCTTCACATATGTGGCCTCGTTTATTATTATGGGTGGTGCTATTATCGTCCCAACTTGACAGGTGAGAAGGTGGATGGCTAGAAAGATGCCACCTGAGTCACCCAGCTGGCAGAGCCAGGTGTAGAAGCCAGCTGACCTGAGTTCAGAGTCTGGGCTTCTAACCTCTCAGCAGCAGCATGGCCCCCTCACCTCCATCCTTTAAAATAAAGACTTTTCTGCACCTCCTGCTCTGTCTCTGGCCACTGTCACCAGCCAGTAATGCTCATGACCTTCTCTGGGCCTGGGTGACCCCAGCCCTTCACTCCTGAGCCTACCTGTTGGAAGGCTCCCCCACATGTCACAGACATACCCCCATTTCACTGTGCCTACGGGAAGCCTCTTCCTGTTTCCCAGATCTGCACCCCATCCTGTGCCACGCCCCCCCCATGCTTCAGGGCATTTTCTGACGTCTTTTCCCCTAACCTGCACATTTGGGGTGGAGGTCCTAGCACTGCTCCGGTCCAGAGTTGCCTCCGCAGCCCCTCCCTCTGCCTCTGTCTTCCCCAGTGCCCTGGCTGGGCCCTCCACCTGCCCTACCCCACCATTGCTGATGTAAGCCCCTGGAGTCTAGCCCAGGGCTTCCCCTGCTTTCCCCAGTGCTGGGATCACCTAGGCATCTTGTTCCAATACATATTCAGATTCAGTAGGTCTGGGGCACACCTGAGATCCTGTGTTTCCAACAGGTTCTTGGGCCATGCAGGTCTGTGGACCACATTTTGTGTGCTGATTACACCCCTCTCCACAAAACACCTTCCCTGGCTTCTTAGTGCTTGGGACGAAACCCCATCAAAAGCAAACTCCATGCTTTCAAAGTCCTTCCAGAATCTTCTCCTACCCCCCTAGTTAGACCCCGCTTCCTTCCAAGGATGGCTTCCGTTTCCCACCTCTCCACCTCTGCTGATGCTGTTCCCTCCACCTGGAATGCCCTTCCCGCTGGTCTCTGTTTATGAACACCCCTCCTTCAAGATCCAGCCAGGGCTCGGGGGCCAACACACTGGGTTCAAATCTTGGTTCTGTTCCTGACAGGTGTGGGCGAGCCCCTCACCCTCTCTGTGCCCCGTCCCGCTTCTGTAACGTAGGGATAGCGACTGTTGTGAGAACCAGAGGAGGTGATGAATACGAAGAACCGTGAAGGACCTGGCTCCTCATAGATCAGCTGTGTGGCCTTGGCTGTTACTGTGTGTCTCTTGCATACCAGCAGGGCCCTGCCCACGGGGTGGGGAGGCTGGAGCAAGAATGACCCACGTAAAGCAGAGCGTCTTACACAGTGAACCCTATGGACACAGCAGCTAGTCTCGGTCCTGTTAGTAGTACTAATGGTAGGCAGTATTGTGATTAATAATCATTTATTTGGATTCTCTCCTTGGACTCCCAGAGTCCTCTGAGAGCTCTAGAGTGCCAACAAGACGCCCTGGTATCACCCCAATGTGAGCTACGCTCGGAGCGGGGGCCTGCTCCCCAGCCCTGCCCTAAAGCCTGGTACAGTGCCCAGCACATAGTAGGTCTCTGAGAAGCCCAATGGTGAAAGGCAAGCCAGCTCCTGTCCTGGCCAGGCAGTCCCATAAGGCCTTTCCTATGTGGCCAGAGTGGCAGCTGGCTCCAGGTTTCTGTGTTCCTTGCTTGGGCTTCCAGCTCGCCAGGACCCTGCCACGTGCAGAGTGGCGCCCCCCGCTCTCCATCTGTGCCCTGCTGGCCAGCACCCTCTGTGGTGTGTGTGGATGGAGGCCGGGAGGGGACTGCTTCACTGCTGGCCTAAACCCCAGGGGACAGTTGCGTCTGCCCCAGCTAGCATGTGGCCCAGCCCTTGACAGACCTTGGGGAAACTGAGGCTTAGGGGCAGTGACTTGCCTGGGGACGTGGCATGTAAGGGGCTCCCATCCTTTCCTGAATAACTAACTTTCACTCCCGGTTTCCCGACTCCCCAGTGTGGGCCGGCCCCTCTTGCCCTGGTGATGAGGGAGTGCCCCCTGCGGCGCTGGGAGGGAGCTGCAGGCCAAGTGCCCACAGTGCCTGCTCGCCTGTCCCCCCCCAGGCTTCAGCCGCAGTCTGGACTGTGGGGACCGACAGCTTGGAGAGCACAGCACTGCTTTCTGGGAGCTCTGGCCTGGGGGCCTCCCCGCACACCCCTGGGTAGCTTTATTGCTATTCTTCCTCCCCACAGCTTGATTTATGCAGGCAGGTGAGGCGTATTCTTCACCTGCAGCAACCCCCAGCCTCTTAGGCTGCCTAAAAATCTGCATTAGGTGACTTTTCCAGGCCCCCTCTTTTAGAGAAGGGACCTACTGTGTCCTGAGCACCTGTTGTGTCCAAGCCTCACTCTAGAGGTCTGGGAAGGTTGAATTCATGAGTGGTTGGGAGCGTCAGTGTGGAGCCAGACCTCCCGGCTCCTGTCCCAACTCCGTCACTTCTGGCTGTGTGACCTGAGGCAAGTTAATTCCCTTCTCTGAGCTTCGTTTCTCTGCCTTGTGCTCCCCCTTCCTCATCACCATATTCACAGCGCACATTTCTTGAGGGCTCATCAAGTGCCAGGCACTGGTCTGAGAAACCCTGTTCCCCCCCACCTCTGACCAGCGGCGGACGGCAGTGGGTGAAGGAAGAGTCTGGAATGTAAGTGTAATCATTATTGTTACTGTTATTGTTGATGCTGTCATCACTCACCCTCATTATGTTGTGAAATCCTTGCAGCCCCTGTGACCTGGCAATCATTTATCCACAGTGTAGGGATGAGGGAAGACAGAGAGGCCATGAGCCACCCGGAGCAGTAGGAGCAAGTGGCTGACAGAGATCAGTGACTAGAAAGGGGATGGGAGCATTGGTCCCGTTCCAAGTCTCTCTCTCTCTCTGAGCTTCTGGAGCCACGAGGAATGGTTCTTTACCTGGGCTTCAGTTTCCCCTTTGGGCCAGCAGACGGACTAAAGGAGTCCATTTCCAGAGGTCCCTGGGGTCTCAGAATCCAGAACTTGAGACTTGGAATGTTAAAACTGAGCGTGCTTGGGGGGCATTGAGCTGGGGTCGCTTTGCTGGGAGGCCTGAGGCTCAGGGAGGACTTAAGTTCAGGTGGCCAGTTGTGTGTGGACTGGCTGGCCGCCTGCCAGGCACTGGATACCCCCCTTCCCCCAGCGTGCCTTCCATGCCTTCCGCTCTGCTGGTCAGCGGGCGGGTCCTGTCTACTGCCAAGGAGGCTGGGCTCTCCATCAGGAAGGGGCAGTTGTCGCCTGAGCCTGGGGGTGGGGGCAGCATCAAAGCGGCCTGTTGCTGTAGCAACCCTGGTCTCTGTGGGGACTTTGGGGAAAACAGCCCTGGAGATATGTCAGATGGAGGGCGAATCGGCAGAGTTATCCCCTGCCTGGCCTCTGCCTGTGAAGCCTGGCACCTGTCTGCCTGGATGGTGTGGGGGACAAGCCTGAGATGCCCCCTGGCCCAGTGCTGAGTCATGGGCATCCCCAGGGTCGCTGCCTCAGCTCTCAGCCCTGCCCACTCCTGGCCTCCCTCTGATAAATCAGTGACTCACGTATGGTCTCCGTCATCCCCAGCAGAGCTAGGGAGGAGGAAGGAGTCCATCTGGGGCAGGAGGGGGGCGTCCCCCCACCAAACACACCCCAGCGCCTCCCCGGGCTCTACACTGGCTGCCCGCCCTTCCCTGCGCAGGAGAGGGGCTGGGAGCCAGACACACACACACACACACACACACACACGCACACACACACACGCACACACACACACGCACACCGGCTCCCTCGGCAGCAGGACCATGCTGGCACGTTGAGCCTTGGAGGTGGATCCGGAAAGGTAGTTCAGCTGCCTGGCCCTCCGAGGGACCCTCCACCTGGCACCAGGTACCAGATCAAAAAGGGAAGAGGGATGGGTGTGTGTGTGGCAAAGGGTGGGGTGGTAGACCAGGGAATTGGGAAGCCTTGGTGTCTCGGTGGGAGCTAGCCCAGATGAGCAATGCTATGCGGAGTCTCTAGAGTTGGGGGGTTGATGGACAGGGAGATGCCTGGGAAGGGGATGGGGCCCAAGAGGATGAAACCTCTCAGAACCACTCGTCATTTGTTAGCTGGGGAAACTGAGGCTCAGAGTGGGATAGTCACTGGGCACAGTAAGCTGGGGTCTGCTCCCTGGGCGGTGAGATTACTGTTCAGTCCTGTACAGACAGGGGAACCAAGGCTCTGAGGGGGCAGGTGGCTTGCCTGAGGTCACATAACAAGTCTGGAGATAGCCTCGGGGAGGAGAGGCTGCTGCAGGGGGCTGGGTACCGGGCTTTCGAGGGCAGCTTCTCTTGCAGCTGCCCTGGGGTTGAGTCCGGAGCCCCCGAGTGAGCCAGGGACAGTCTTGCTCTTTATCCACAGGCCACCTTTGGGAGGAGATGGTCTCATCTGGGGGGCCTGAACATGATGGGCAGGGGAGGTTCCTGGGGTGACAGAATATCTTGGGCCAGATAGACGGGGAAGTAGAGGCTGAGGGCTGGACAGCGCCCTGCCCGCTAACCACCAGACCTCAGGGCTGCTGTCTGCTTGGCGCTGATAGAGCCTTCCGACCTGGGGGCTACCGCGGTGCCTACCCTGTTCCACTGGAGGAGGGTGTGGGAGGAATTGCTAGTTCCTGTCCTCCCCTCCTCCCCAACCAGCCTCCTTCCTGTGGTGCTGAGTTGGGGGTCTCCCAGGGTCCCATGGGAGGGAGCTGGTGATCATTTTACTAAGGAGAGTTGGGGGGACATGAATCCAGGCAGGGCCCCTCTCACCCTGGCCCCCCGGCCCCCCTCCAAGAAGCTCTGGCCTGGGGAAGGTGGGGTGGGTAGAAACAGCCTTTGTGGCTCCAGAGGGCCAGGAAAGTTCTACATATAAACATTGATTGAATGCCTACTGTGTGCCTGGTAGTGTCCTAAGGGTGGGGGACACATCAGTGAATGAGACAAATAAGGTATCTTAGAGCCGGTGGGTCATCCTGACCCAGCGCCAAGACCCCTACCCCCTTCCCTGTGGGTACCCTGAGTGCAGAGGGTTGGTTCCTTGGGGTTGAAGACTGAGTGGGAAGAAGTATCTCCAGCCAGTGAGAGCCGCAGGCTGCTAAGTTGGCCAGGGTCCCTGCCGGAGAGGGGCTGGGACTAGCTCTTTGGGCCAGCTCTTGGGGTGAGACTAGCTCTTGGGGCCAGACCTGATCCCGCTTTGCTGCAGGGACTCCAGGGATCTGAGCTACAGACCTCCCTTGGTCACAGCAGCACTGTGGCCACGTTACCGTGCCTCTCTCTCTGAGCCTTAGGTGTCTCAGCTACAAAATGAGTGCACGGGGGTGATGATAACTGCTTTGCCTCCATGTCCTGGGGCCTGGCTCTGGGTGCCGGGTCATGAAGGACACTACGCCAGGTGTGGCCTGTGAGGGAGAGGCTGTGCTAGGCAGCCTGTGCTGTTTTTTGCTGGCTCCAGTGCCCTGGGCAGGGGCTGGTCAGCCTGGCTGGGCTACCCCCACCTTGTCAGGGACACAAACAAGGCAGTTAGGATCTGAGGCTGAGTTGGGAGATAAGCTTGCTGGTAGAGGCGAAGAGAACTTTCTGGCTTAGGGCTGGGAAGCTCGGCAGACGTCATCCAGTCTGGGCTTGAGGACTGGTAAAGAGGGCGAGGAGGGTTTGAAATGTATGAGTTTGGGTAGTGGGTGGGGAGGTCCTGGCAGAGGAAACTGCGTGGGAAAAGGTTTGAAATGGTGAGAGCCTGAGGGAATGGGTCAGGTGAGAGCACTGGAGACCTGGCACGGGTCATGGTATGGGGCCCGGAGCGCCAGGCTGGCAGGTTCTCATCTGCTCTGTGGGGAAAAGGGTGGTGGGAGGACTTGGGCAGCGCTGTAGCCAGCGGTCAGGCTGTGGCCCCAGCAGGATGGAGAAGGCGGGGTTCATGGTGTGGGGCTGGCCTGGCTGCCCCAGGTCTGAGCTGGAGGGCACAAGGCTCATGCTTGGAGGTGAGTGGGTGGCTGGTGGGGCCTGTGCCCTTTCAGGGATGTGGGTGGGTGGGGGGCTTCTACATGGCAGGGTGAAGAGTCAGGGGTGCAGGTGGTGGGGTGTGGGAAATGTGGCAATACAGCCCCAAAACCCGGTGCCGCCCCTCCCCTGAACCAGAGCTTGAGCAGGCTCAGCACCCCAACCCCGACCCATGGTGGCCCTGTGGACCCCGCCTCTGACTCACAGCAGATGGGGCATCACGTGAGCAAACCTGGCAGCTGGGGAGACCAGGACCCCAGGAAACAGGCAGATGGCAAGTGGGAGGCGGGGCAGAGCTGGCACAAAGGGGCCTCTCGAACAGGGTGGAACAGGGCCCTGGCTGGGCTCAGCCTCCCCAGGCTTGCTCTCTGCCTGCCTGGTCCTCGTACCCCATCAGGAGTCCCTGAGGCCCCCTGGGAGCCCTGCAGATTGTGGGGCCAGGCCTGGGCTGCTGGGGAGAGGGGACATGGTTGAGGGGAGGAGCTTGCAACACATTTTCTGACCCCCGCTCAGTGCCAGCCTGCCCTGGCACAGGTGGGCTGAGCCACCTCCCTGGCCCCTTAAACCCTAAACTGTCCCTGTTCCCTGATGGCTCCGCCTGGACTAGAACAATCGGGGACCCTCCGTGCCCTCAGACCCTGCCGGGCCTGGCCCAGCGCTTTGCGTGCACCTTCACTCCCGCGAGGCAGGTGTTCACGCTGAGCCCACTGAGAGCTGAGGACACTGAGGTCCAGGAGGCTGACCTGTGAGTGACCTCTCGTCTTTGGGGCTCCGGAGTCTGCGCTCCTGTCCACCGAGCTTTCCTGTCCCCTTGGTAGGGAGAGGGCTCCTCAGCCAGGCCAGGCCAGGCTCTGTGCCGGGTGCCCTTGTCTCCAGCCCCATGCACGCTGCTGCCCAAATCCTCTAGGACCCCCAGAGACAGCAAGGCTGCTTGCCTGTGGAGACCCCTGGCTTTGTTCCTCTCTGGTTGTGTGAACGTGGGCATCTGCCTCAGTTTCCTCACTTGGAAAAGTGGATAACAATAGTATCTATATGCGGGGGGCGGAGGAGGGGGCCTGTTGTGGTGAGGATGAAGGGGTTCCTGCAGTAAAGTGTTTAGAACAGTGCCTGGCCTGTGTAAATGTTCGCCTTATCATGATCTCCCATGGGCCGATGGTGCCCTGAGGTCCAAGGGTGTCTTGTAGTACCTTGGGGGGACTTCCTTCTGTCTGTCCCCTGGGCTCCAGGAGGATCCCCCCAGTATGACTTGTGCTTTGGCAGGGGGAGCCAGTGGGGTGGGCACCAGGCTCCTGGGCTGACGCCAGCTCAGGCGGTTTGTGGTGCGCTTGGCAGTTCCAGGCAAAGATAAAAGCTCTCTGAGACTCGGAGAAGCTGGCAGAGCTTCCAGGAACCGATGGACAGGCCTCTGCATTAGAGGGAGATGACCTGGGGGTGGGGTCCTCATCGCCCGGGAGCCAGACAAGCTCCGGTCCCCTGCAAGGCAGGAGCTTCTGCAGCTAATGGCTCCAGTGTGGCTCCCCAGGCTCAGGGCCACTTAATGGAACTCCTAACGAGCAACACGAGACACGAGAGCTCCCTCTGCCTCCCCTCAGAACCCCCCCCTCCGCCCCCCGTCCTCAGCCAGAACTCTGCCTTCTTCCTCCCAGAAGTCCTGGCTTTGTGCTTCTAGGCCCACCCGGGGAAGTAGGGACTTTTGGGACTTGTAGCCTGTTGCCCAAGGTCACAGCCTCCGGGACTGCAGTATCCTTACCTACACACGGAGACGACAGTGCCAACGCTGGCAGGGTTGTTGCTGGAATTTGGGATAATAAATGACTGCAAAGTGTATATTTATGTGCCTTTGAGAGGTCTTCCCTAAACCTCAGCTGAAGGTTTTTGTCTTCAGGGCTATGCAGTGGTTGAATTAGAACTCAGTTTAAGTCCTTGAAAAGTGACCTTTGAGCTAGCGACTTACTTTCTCTAAGCCTCATTACTTGGGCTATAAAATGGGGATGAAGAGACCTGAATCTCTAATATCTAAATGAGACCCTGTGGGGAGTAACTGAGACAGCCACACACTGTAGGGACCCTTGGGCAGAAGAGCGTCTCCAGCTCTCCCGGACCTTTGCTCCTGCATTGCCCAACTCAGCTGTCCCCCTGGGAGAGGCAGCACAAGGCGGGGAGCTCTGAGGTTGCTTGGTTCTGCCCCAATTCCACCAGCTGTGTGAACTTGGACAGGTGCATTAGCCTTTCTGTGCCTGTTTTCCTCAACTTTAAAATGAGGATGATAATGGCATTTGTGAGGGTTAAGTGCTAAGTATAGTGCCTGGCACACCATAAGTGATGTTGTTATTGCCACTGTTCTGGGCCACCACCAAGCCCTCCCCTTAGAGAGCAGCAGTGAGTTTATCCCCAAGCAATGGCCCTGTCCTCCCATGACGTCACTGGGAAGGGCACCAGAGAACCTGCCCCCGTGGACACTCCCCATCCAATGGGGTCTTGATCTGCTGGCCTGAGTTGTTGTCCAAGTCTGGGGCGTCCCTTCTGCTCCTTGAGACCCAAGGCCTGACTGGGCTGGCCACTGTCCTGGGCCTGCAGGGGAGGCCTGAATTCAAGCTGGGCTGGTTTCCTGAGGTACCATTCTGCCACTTCTCTGCTGGGCTGAGTTCCCTTGGCCCTTGGGGGCTACGTTGATCAGCTGACCCCTCCTGGGCCCCTGGCCAACTCTGGCCCTCAGTGTGTGGCTCCACGGGCTGGCACTCTGGGTCTCTGACCCTGTGGCAGGGGGTACAACTGCCCAGACCCACCTGCCTCGACGGTGATGACAAATGCAAGGGATATATCCCAGGGACTGGTGGAGCAGTTGAGTCATGCTTGGCCTGGCATCCT